CTGCCTTACCCATTTATATCATGTCTGTGTTTAGACTTCCTGTGGGTATATGCAATAACATTTGCCAAACTATTGCCAACTTTTGGTGGGGAAACAATGGGGTGGGAGGGAACAAGATTCACTGGTTAAGGTGGGATAGGTTAGCCAAGCCCAAGAGTGAAGGGGGGTTGGAATTTAGAGTTTTTAGTGACTTCAATGAAGCTTTAATTTTAAAGCAGATTTGGAGAATGTTGACAAAGCCAAACACTTTGATGAGCAGGGTTTTGAGGGGTAGATATTGTTTTCAGAGGAAGTTCTGGGAGGTGGGAAAAAAAGGCCAGTGATTCTTGGCTTTGGAAAGGGTGGTTAGAAGCTAGGAAATCTTTTAAACTGGGGGCTTGTTACTTGGTTGGCAATGGGCAGTCCATAGATATCTGGAATTCCCCCTGGATCCCAAAGCTTAATCATTTTTACCCTGAATGTCCCTTTCCTAAGGATACTGTGAGATTGTGCAAAGTAGCTGATCTTATGATTGCAGGGGGGTGTGATTGGGATAGTGAGCTGGTGCAACAGACTTTTAATCCCCAGGATGCTGCAAACATTCTCAAGATCCATATAAGCAAAATGGGGTGCAAAGACAGACTAATTTGGCTACCTCACAAGAAAGGTCTGTTCACTGTTCAAAGTGCCTATCACACTATTCAGAATAAGAAAAAGGAGGAGCAGGGCCTGGTGGAAAGTAGTACTGGCAATCAAACTCAACAGAAGGTGTGGAAAGTGACATGGAAACTCCCCATTAAGAGCAAGATCAAAAACTTCATATGGAGATGTTACTTCAACTGCTTGAGCACCTCTGATAAATTAAGGCAGAAAGGGATTGAGGTGGATGGTATATGCTGTTGGTGTGGAGACAATAAGGAAGACTTGGTGCACTTGCTGTTTTTGTGTGACAGAGCTAAAACTGTGTGGAAGCTCTCAGGACTTTCATGGGACAGGATGCAGACAGAGACTATGGAATTTAAATCTTGGTGGGAGGATGTCTGTTATGCAAAGAAGGCAGATTATGGACAAGACAGGGCTGCTCTTTCAACCTATATCCTGTGGTGGCTATGGAAAACGAGGAACAATTGGCTCTTCAACAAAGAAAAATGCTCAGAAAGGAAGTTGGTGGCAGGTGCACACAGTGAATGGCTGGAATATGATCAGGCTATGGTAGAT